GGACATTCAGCTGCTTACTATACCTTGATTGGTGGAATAGTGATGTATATACACCGCTATCCTGGGCCTTTTTTTGTTCTGAGTCAGACACAGGCACTTGTTCCCTGAAAAATGCAACATCTGTTGCTGGTCACAGAGTGGGAAGGAGTCATGCCTAGGGCTGGCTTTAGGAAGGCACTCAGAGACAAGACAAGGCCATAGTGATGCAAAGCAAGCTGCTCCCTGGGTAGCACTCTGTAACAAGAGCCAGGGGTGCAGGAAAGTCTGTACACCCTCCATGGAACTCCCTATATACCAGCATTGTGAAGGATACTGGGCCAAATTTATTATAGATATGAAACACTGTCATTTTGTGAAGTCTAGCACCTGGCTGAAGTGAAGACAAACCATATGTAATTTGAACAGAGTAATTTCAATAGATGTGTGGTCAGTAAGTTACCTGGACTCACTGAATGAAATAAACTAAAACTATTCAATTAAGTGACTTTGAAAAGCTGTCCAAAATTCAAAATAGTGTTTTCCAGGAGTTAAAGTGGCTAATAAGAGGGCATAGAAGAAGAGGTTTCATGTTACAGTATAACTGTTAATGAGATGATGTAATGCTAGTATGGTAATGATTATGCAAATAGAAATGTCTAGGACTCTATGTCCACTGCAGTGAAATGTCAGTCTTCCAGAAACCTGAGCAAATTACCAATGGCAAGATAATTCAAATCAGTCTGAAAAATCACAGGTTATCCTCTCTTGACAAACCAAATACCTGAGAGTTTATCTTTGATATTATAGAACAGATTCTCTGTCACTGCAATTCTCTGTATTATTATTGACCTCAGTGGGATTATGTAGATTTACATGAGCTGAGGTTGTTGCCTCAATTCAAATAGCTTGGTGAGAGGGCAGCAGGACAGGCCCTACGAGGAGAGACTGAAGGACCTGAACCTGTTCAGCCTCAGCAAGAGGAGGCTGAGGGGGGACCTGGTGGCTGCCTACAAGCTCATCAAGGGGGATCAACAGCAAATAGGCAGAGCTCTTTTCTCCCCAGCACCACCTGGGGTGACAAGGAACAATGGTAATAAGCTGATGGAGAATAGGTTTAGGTTAGAGATCAGAAGGCAATATTTTAGTTAGGGTGGCCAAAATCTGGAACCAAGTTCCCAGGGAAGTGGTCCTCGCCCCTACCTTGGGCAAATTCAAGAGGAGCTTGGACGATCACCTGTCTGGGGTCTTGTGAACCCAGCATTCATTCCTGCCTGTGGCAGGGGGTCAGGCTAGATGATCCTCCAACCCTAGCTATTGTGAAACTATGAAACTTAAGTAAGCCCTAGCTTTTTTAGACAGGGTACTGACAAGTCTTTCCAGGTGCTTTTCAACTGATTCAGTTATCCAGACAATTTTGATGCAAATGTCTACAGGTTGTTTGTTTGGCAAAAAAGGATCACCACTCGTGAAAAGTGCAAGAACTAGTCCTAACTTTCAAATAGTGAAGTAACAATGACAGACAATTGTGCTACCAGTACCACAGGCTGTGAAAAGTGTCCTTCAAGTTTCTACCCTTTTTCCAATTATGTTCATCAAAGGAATACAGGAAGATCATAGATGAAATTATTACTAAACACCAGGCCATCACAACCCTATGCATAACTTCTCCATAGACCTTGAATTTCAAAGTTAGCATTTGGCAAATTTCTCAAAAATATTGTCAGCTAGCTTTGTTGGAGCCGAAACCTAGAAAACCCAAAGTTTTGCTGTGGGACAGAGGTGGTCTTCTAGAAGAATTTATTTCATAAATCACAAGTTGGATGAGAACTCTCAGGGCGGGGTTAAACCAGCCATATTCTTTTCATGGCAAGTTCTTTATCCCTTCTGGTATACCAAAAAATTAATTTTTTTCAAGTAGTACATCCTTAATAATTTCATGGCGGCACTACAAGAGAAAAAACCTCAATTCTCAGACTTTTAAAGACATACTTGAGTTTGTTTGTAGTGGGGCAACATTTGTGATCCAGTCCTTCTGTTAATCACAAAAGTTTAAGATTTATTGTTTATTTAGAATCATAGAAAAGTGAGACTGGGATGGACCCAGCAGCACTTAGTCCCCCCTTGCTCAAACCAGGACCATACCTCTCTAAACATCCCAGACAAGTATTTAGAATCTTTAACAGATTAAGCAAGGATGGAGATTGTACACCCTTTTGAGGTGATTTTCTCCAGTTTTACCATCCTTGGGAAAGGAGCTGACTAAATCAGGGCTGTGCAACCTCCCCCCCTCCCAAACCCCCCCTCTCCCCAAAAAACCCCAAACCTAATTTGTAGTCCCCAGGCTCCCAATCCAGGAATCACTCCCCCCCCGACCCCTTTGCTGCTACTGCTGCTGAACGTCTGGACTCCCCTTCCTTCCTGCACTTGTTCCCACCCTTGGACGAAGAATGGTCCACAGGGACAACACAGACGGGCAGCTTGGGAGAGCTGGTGACCCTGTGTAGCAAGGCATCTGGCTGGAGAGGACCATCAAACCTGAATCTTCCATGTTGCAATTTAAGCCTATTCTTTCTGGTCCTGTGCTCTGTGGCATGGAGGACAACAGATCACCACCTTCCTTATAACAACTTTTGTATTTGAAGGCAATCATCAGCCTTCTTTTCTCTAGACTAAATAAACTGCAGTTCTTCCATCCTTTCCTTGTACTTTGTGTCTTCCAGGCCCCTAATCATTTTTGCTGTGCTCCAATTTGTCCAACTCTAATAAACCATGGAGCCTAAAACAGGACATGGTGCTCTGAGGCCAGTTTGAATTATGTTTTGCTTATTTCAAGTTGTTTTTGCATCAGCGTGTTGGCTAAGCATGTCCATGCTTACCATTCCTCTTGAAGAAAAAGGACAGAACTTCCAGCCTCCTTATTTATAACAGAAGTTGCTTTAATACTGCTGCATAGCAGTTGCATTTGCCAAACCAATGACCAACAGTTATTCAGACAAATTCCTTTCATTTACCTGAGGTTTCACAAATAAGACTGTAGATTTACATACAGTACTTGTTGCATATATGTATCAAAAAATCTTACTGAAGAAATAACTTACAAACAATAGTACAAAACACTCCAAGCCAACATTTGATCAAAAAGAACATAAGTATGTGAACTTTACAAGGTTTTATTTTTTGCATTACTCTTACAGTCAGCAAACTGTTTTATAGAAAATAAACTTGGAGTTTATCATATTTAAAAATTATCTTTGGCTAAACAAACTCATTCTCTCTCTCTCTTTACACACACGCACACACACACACACACACACACCCCCCCCTGCACCCACGCACATACAATATTTTACACAAAGGAACCTGTACACATACTTACAATAGGCATAACATTTTAAAAGTGTTTCACAATTTACAAAAAAGGAATCCAAGTCAGAACTGAAACAGTCATCTTTTTCCACTTAAAGCAGAGGAAAAGCTGAGTAGAGAGAAATAGGGTTTTTTAAACAACAAAATCTTGCCTGCTTCAGGGAAAGGAAGGAGGGAACATTGAAAGACATTAACTTCTTGTTAGTGCCTTTTGTTCTGTAAGGGTGCATGTTAAAAATAAAAGTGCCCTGACAAACTTTGAGCAAGCAAACAAAACTTTGCAATTTGTATAGGTCCACAGGGTTGTTTATCTGTTTAATCTCCAACAGGTTAAACAATTGCCACAAATAGTTTTTAGGACAAAACAGGGGCAATCTCCTATTAAAACATCATTAGGTATTGCTTGCATGCCTCAAAGACAAACATTTGATAAATCAAAAGCAATACAATTTTAGAAGCAAGTATGTAAGACTGAAGGAGACATCACAACCTATGTTTAAATAATTCCTTATTGTTAACTTTGTAACAACTGTCATCTAAAACATAGATTACATGCTTTCTATCAATACGGCACTCATGACTCCACAGGTAACACCTGAAGGCTTAATAAAAAAAAAGGCCTATCAAGGAATAACTTAAACAGTCCAGCAGACTTTCACCTCCAGTACATTACTTCCTGTCCATATGGATTTAGTGGCAGAGGAAAAGAAAGATGTACTGGTAGCTTAATAAGTTTTCACTGATTATTTTTGAGGGGGTGTAGGGGGAAGATGGAAGCTAAAGTAAACTGTAAATATCATAAACCAATAAAACTGAAATGTTGAGATTTTAAGGATGACAACACACACAATTAGACATCTTATGCTAAGAAGTAACTTTGAAAAATGGACACAGAGCTGTCAAAATATTCTAAGTTTGAAAGTACTTTGAAAGCTGTAGTCAACAAGTTCTGACAGGGTTTGCTTTTTAATTGCTGTTTGGGGAAAGGGCTTCCCCCTAGTCAGTAAACATGAAATCACACTTTATAGGTAATTGCACAAGTCTGTTTCTAAACCACTTAAGTCATTAAGTAATGCACATTCAATTTGATCCAAAAAGTCTGAGGAAGGGGCTATGTTAATGAGCATTTTTCAGAAGTTAATTAGAAAGTATGTCCCTTAATGTGAAATCCAGTTATTTGAGAAACTATATTTAGCAATATTTCTATGATAAAACTGCATTATTTTAAAGGGAAAAGCACAATGTCCTAACAAACATTTGACAGTATTTTGATGCTTCTAACAGATGTAACTTCGCGCATTTGTCATTTGCTAGTTGAGGGCAGATTTCTTGAAAAGTAGGCTCCAAGCAGTCCTTCAGGTTTTTAAAATCCATGTTGTCATACAGAACATTTTAGCAGGTGTAACCAGTGTCATTACTTTCATTTGACCGCATAAGTTTTTGTGGTTATGTAACAAGTTTCAATGACAGGAATCTCCATCATCTTAAACTGACGCTGCTACATTTGTACATGCATTTTCTTCTTCAACCAGCATAAGTTTGTTTTAGTTCCCCCCCATCTATTGAGAAACTAAAAGAATGGAAACTATTGCTTACTGAAATATGATAAAACATTTCAACAGTATGTAAAAAGATAGTTTACATGAACAGTTAACAGTTTAATGAACTCTGTATTCTGACTTGGATACCTCCAGTGGTACCACAATCCGTGTGTACTTGTGCAGTTCATCATTGCTGATGACAGCTAAACCCTGTACAACAAGAGCAGCTTCCTTATTAATTACTTGTATTTTGACTTTTTGAACAGCTTCATTAACTGCTTGAACCTTTCAGAAACCTAAGGAGGAGGGGAAAAAGATCACATTAGTAAAGTTCTGGATTTCAATATGTAACATCTCAGATTAATCCTACAGTACTACAACATTAACCTGACTTTCATTGGTTTTGATACTCTCACCTTTTCCTAGTTCCAATTTGCTTTTGCAAGATTTTATAGGAGGTTTCAAAAGGGCTTATGAGATTTAGGAGCAGAATCCCAAAGAAAAGCCAATGCAAATCAAAGAAAAGACTCCTGCAGGATTTAGAAAAATCCCACACCTTCACACTTTTTAGAAGCCCTTAGTCTCTAGCTCGCTGGCTGAGACTCACAACAGCTGAAGCTTAGTGCTAGGTTATTTGAACATAACAATCCTCCAAGACTTACTTACAAGAGAAAATGAAAACATCAAATATTTGAAACCTGCAAATTGTAACTGGAGGATGGATTAAAAATTTAAACTAATTTCTCCAAAAGAAAGTATAATGTGTTTTACTAGACTACTGACAGATGTTCAATTTAAGGTGCAATGGTAACCGGGCAAAGTAATTTGTTATTTCATGGCTTATTCCATGCTCTATTTATAACCACAGTAATGGTTTTATTGTGCCATTAACTACATAAATGTATGGCTGGGTTGCTACTTAAAACGTAATTAACCAGTTAATCACATCTTAAGTATAAAGTCTGCCAGGGGCTACAGTCACTCTCCACCTCTTACAGCATCTGGCGATTCAGGTTTTAGCTAACCCAGTCATTCCACAGAAATGGAATCCTCTGTAGAGGGGACTTATTTCTTCAGGAAGTCCTCACTCTGGTAAAATCGGTGGATCCATTGGTCATTCATAGGAATAACGCTTTGTTGGATCAGTTTCTAAGTTCTTTTAAGACATTTAAAGGGTTTTTATACACACACACACACACACACACACACGTAATTTTGGAGCAATATTGACAGATAATTTAGAAGTACAAATAATAGAAGCCAAAAATGCACGTGCATGTGTTGGAGAGGTAAAGGTGGGGAAGAAAAATGATACCACAAAGCCTAATCTCCAAACACAGAATGTGGGTTAAGACCCAGGGCCAAATCCTACTCTACCTATTAGGTATGCTAGCAAAATCCTCTTCTATCCCACGTCCTTTAGAATCCATTAATACATCTGTTATGATAACCTTCTGTTATCTTAGTAGAGTAGCTAGGAGGAAGAGGACCCCACCCACCTTTTGAGTTACAAGTTTTTCAAGGACTCAAGCAGGACAGAATGAGGTCACACTTAGGTGTCTATGTTCACTTACGCACCTAATAGGGGCACTGGGATCTGACTGCCAGTCTTTAAACCCATATTTCATAATGGGAAGTTATACAAACTTCAGTCTATACTGTATTGACACGTTGGAAATCATGTAGAGTACTACACTACTAGATGCCATTTTTCATTTTATTCTGGCTCTGTCCTTATCATTCAATATATCTGAACCTTATAAATTATTTGTTTTCTGGTTGTATGTGAGCACTCCAGAGAAGATCACATCCTATTGACATAGCCTATAAACTTAGTAGAACTTTGTGTCAATAATCATGATAAATTCCTTGATGATGCAATATTTCCCATTAAAAAAAAAGGCTTTGTGTTGTGTTGGGTTTTTTTGAGAGACCCTATTATCAAGGGACTATGTGTTTGTGTAATATTATAACACTGTCTATATGTGAAATTAAAAGAAAAAGACCTGGGTAGCTCAAATACCAGGACCAGGAGGAAATCCTAGAAATGCTAGATATATATGCTATTTTTATGCTATTACATAAAAAGCTGTGATGAAAGACAACTTGCTAAAGTCAAGAGTGATAGCAATCTTGAGAAAAAATAAAGGGACAACACAGCTACTCTATCTTCTATATGTACCCCCAACTTAACGTTAAAACATTTACAAATGCAGGACTAGCTTGTGATCAATTAAGTGGAGATCATGCCCCACTTAATTAGGAAAGAGCCTGTGCAAGCTCCTGCCAAAATTGAGTACAAGTGCCACTACAAAGTGGCTCACTCATAGAAGAAAATCAGAGTTGAGGTCAAGAGAAGGGAAAAGATGGAACCATGGCTTTGACCTGTCCAGACAACAATCAAATCCATAGGACAGGACTGGAGAACTGTGCTGCACCCATTTTTTTTTGTTTTGATACCCAATGTCTCACTTGTGGGACAGGAGGCAGGTTTAGACTACAATCATGTCACTAGGACTTCACCGATAAAATGATCGTAAGTGGAGGCACACAAGCCCTTTCTTCAAAGCAGGAGACCTCTGGTAAGCCCTATTCCTTTTAACTTGCTGCAATCTGTTTATTGTTTGTCCATACGTTAATATTGGTTACTGCCCAGGAAGCTTAAGAAGTTGTGCAAGTATCATGGCACTGACAGTTTTTAACTCTAGAAGATGCTTGTGATGAAGGTAACCTGAATGTGGATTCTGTACAATTGGGTACAATGTTCTAAAGGCAGGCAGACTTGTTATGGAGAAAATGGGCATTGTCTTAGTCCGGCCTGCATCTCAGAGGAAAAAAAAATGTATACATATATCCCTAGAAGTGCAGTACTTAAACATGACCTTTCAAATCAGCTTTACTCCAAGCATATCAGAGAACAGAAGAAAAAACTGTTCATGAAAAATATTTTTCAGTTAAACTTTGAAATCACTTTTTTACTCTCTTTACGATTACATACATTTTTAACCTGACAAAAAAAGATGTAAAGCTTTCTTGTTATAGCCTCAAGTTGCCCTGTTTTCTCTTACTGCTAACTCAGCACCAGAAGCAGGGTTTGAGAGATTCCTCTTCCAAACCCCATCAAAATGCTTATGACAAAAATAATTCCTCATTAGCACAAACTGACACCCCTGACATTTAGTGCTTATGTCAGTACTCCTGGGCAATTAGAAACAGAGACATATGGTTTCTCATAAAAGAAGAATAAAAATTAGTTACATACCTGATTTGGGCTTTTGTTCAACCTAGCAGCTATGGAAGCAAATGTTTTTCCTGATGGTCCTTTTTTCTGACACTCCAGTAGAATTTCTCGGTCATCATTTCTGCAATTAAAATATGAGATTAAATGACTTCCAACACCTGCATAAAAAGTCACATTATTCCCAAATATAGCTCACAACAGTGGCTCTCCCTTTTACTGAGGCAAGGCAGTGATGCTGTGGCAGGCACGTACCAGGTAACCAGCTCTCACTCTCTTCCTTTAATGGGATAATAGGATAATGCATTGACGTTAAACCACCCCAAAACTAAGGGATAGATCCTTATAAAGACTTCGGTCTGAAAGTGGGTAACAGTTGAGATGTAGATGCCCAAATTAAAAAAAAATCGCCATAATCTGCAAAACTCTCTTGCTCAGCAGCTGCCTAATCCTGGAGATGACAAATTACTAAACACATCAGTTTTTTGCAAGTAAAGTTGCTCAGATGCTTAAAGGTCACCTTTTGAGCATATTCAGAAATACATGTCTTAACAGTGCTGAGCAGCTCCGCACACAGCTCACGTTAGTCCCATCAGGAAGCTCACTTCTTCACTGATCTTTGCCTTTAAATCTTAATCTGGTAGGTATCCTTTGAACAGGTCTCAGATTGGACTGAACAGCCTACTCCTCAATTCCCAACCCCACCCTGCCTTTTATCCAAGTATAGGAGACCTAGGTACTATTTCCTGCTATACCTTAGAAGAATCAAACACATTATCTTCTGCTGCCCATGAAAATACCCTTAATGTCATACTACAAGTTTTGGGTTGAAGCAGTTCAATCTTCCGCTGAAGTATTTCCACTTAGTACAAAATAATTAAAAATTCACCAGAATGGAAACAGGTATACAGAGAATTTATGTGCAGGATTATGAACATGTGCACAACAGCAAGCATAATTCCATACTGTAGCAATTACAGTAATCACCTGGGGAAGGTGAGATCTATGCACCAGTTACTACTCCCAATAACCATTTTACTGTTTTAAAAAGGTAACTGTTTAACCACTGAAGCAGGAATTGAAACATAGGACTCTCACCAGCAAATAAGTGTTCAAATGATAAGCTATACAATCATTCATGCCACTGCAGTCAATATCACCTCTTCCCTCTGGCTTTTTTGAAACACAGGATGGATTTCTCATTTCTTCAAAGTAGTTGTGAAAAGTCAATTGTTTGGGAAGCCCTTGAACACAATACTACAAATACCAAAATAACTGTCCAGTTTTTAATTATTCCGAAAGTACACAAGAGCTCACATTTTGCAAAATGGATTCATATGATCGACAAGGTAGCCAAAGAAACATTTCATACTCTTATGAGTTAGTTCAAAAGGGAACAAAGGTTCAGGCTTCTGAATTAGACTATATTTTGTAAATGAGAACTTCTTAAATCTTTAACATGTATACTTATTTCAATATTTGTTTTTTAAAACCTGTTCCTGCAAGTGTACTGATAAGATTTCTGAAGAACCAGTATAAAATTTAAATGGAAACAAAACAGATTTAGAAAAGTTTAAGATGAAACTCGGGAGTCTATTAACATGGGTTGGAGTGTTCCTGCAGCCATGAAGGTCCAGGAAGCATCTTGGATGCAAGGATCTTTCACAATACATCTTTTACCAGACCAACTGCATAATTTGGAGACACACTGGACAAGTTTTGGAACATGAAGTGTCCTTCCTTTGGTCACCCCAACGCCTGAAACCTTGTCTAACTTGTCCCAACTATGGAATTAGTCCAATAAAAGATATCACAAAAAATTCTTGCCTCTTGAGCCTGTTAAATCCAAATGTTTTTTTAAAAATAGGTCTTAATGTTGGGGAAAGGGTAAGTCAGGAAATTGGTTATTGGATATAGAACCCTTATCCATTAGGCTATTAGACTGATCCTAATACAGGTAAATCACTGAAAATCTTGACCTTCCATTGGCTGCTTAGTGTATTACATGAAATCTTTTATGGATTTAGACCAGTTGCCACTAAACAAACATACATCTGAGAGGGGGGGAAAAAACCAAAAACAAATGATCTACTGGTATCTTTACTTGTCACTTTCAGAATAGAGATTATGGACTAAAAGGGTTTGGAGATCACAATACTCTCCCAACCTAAAGAGCTTTTCCCAAGCAAGGTTAATGTAGCCTCAACCTATAGTAACATAGGAAGTAATAGCCTACACTTGCTACCTGTGCTATATTAATTATACAGAAACAGGAAATTCCTGTTTCCTACTAAATAAATTGACTTTTAAACCCATTCTTCAAAACTTTCACACTTCTTCCTTATGGAAAAAAAATACACCACCCTGTTGATCTTCTTACCTTGTCCAAGAAACCACAACTTCTCCCTTCTTTTTAATGATGTTTTTGGCATATAGACCAAGTGATGATGTGGAAGAAGCTGAACTGGAAACTGTAGAATCTTTGTACTGTGGCAATTCATTCTTTGTACTAGTAGGTGTCTTGAGAGGTAAACCTCTCTCTCCAGAGATCATACTATTTTTATCATTTCCTTCACTGGAAGATTCAGTTTCTTTTCTTTGTCTCTTTGAGTTGGAACTGTCTGCTAAAGACTCCCTTTTCCTTTTTTTGCTAGCTTTATCATTAAGGCTTGTGTGATATCCCAGCTCATTGACCTTTGAAGTGGATTTGGTTTCAGGATTGCACTTGCTTGCTATGGTCTCACTGGAAAGGTCTTCTGTTAAATCTATGTATGTTTTAACATTGCACCCAGAATGTTCTTCTTTATCACCTAGACTTGAACTTCTTGCATGAGTTTCTGGATTTTTATGATTTAAAGTGGATTCCAGAGAAAGATTACATGAATATGATTCATTTTCATTGCCAGTATCTTCTGTCAAGCACGTGTATGTATCAACACCACCTTCCAAGGGAAGAGCAGCTTCTGATCTAATAGTTATTTCACTTGTGCTTTCAAGCACTTTCAGTTCATCAAGCTGAGGCAGCTTACTGTCTTCACTTACATTTTTATTTCTACAGCTATTTTTGTTTGATGGCTCACTAACGGATTTAAGTAAGTCAGGAATTTCTTCTTTTCCAACAGCATTACGTGGCTTCTTAAAAGGCTCAAGCAAAGCAGGACTCTGTTCTTGTCCAATGTTGACATTATGCAGCTCATCAGTGTTATTCAGACGTATTCGAGGCTCTATTGTTTCCTTGACAGTTGCACGTATGATACACTGATGATCCATTTTCATTTTGGCAGATTCAATTAGTTCCTTTTCATTCTTTGTTACAGTTGCCGGGGACTCCTCTGTTCGAGTAGTCTGTTCAAGGATGTGCGATGTAGACGGCACTGCACGCCTTATCTTAACAATGAAATGATCATTGGATTTCTCCATTATTACTGCTTGCATTGGCAGGCTGGGGTGACAGTGAAAGCCAGGAGCAGCAGGCCGACCTGTCCATGAAGAAGAACAACTTGATCTACTACTTGAGTTATCAGATTCTAAAGCCAAATGAATGTCTTGTTCAGTGGCATCTTCCTCCTCAAGAAGAGCATCTTCACTATAATGTGCACTAAGAACTCCTTCAGGAGTGGAGCTGGATACATTTTCAGGTTTCAGAAAGCTAAGGTGAGCATCTGATTTCAAAGGTGATGGAATAGTTAAAGAAACTGCTAGATCTTCAAGGAGGATAGAGGAAACAACCGACTTATTCTTTTGTAAATTGCATTCATCATCTTTGCCTGAAGTTGCATTTGTGGGAACCTCAAACATACAGCTTTCATCCAGAATATCTGGATGAACTGGGATCTGAAGTCTAGATGATAAAGATGAGACTCTTACAGGTGAAACCACAGGCCAACTAATGTCTTCTACAGGTCGAGGTTCCATACAGACCTCCTTTGGAAGCACTTCTTCTATAACAGGAACAGGATTATTTCTGTATTTATGACTTTCTAGAATCCGTTTCTCTGGTGTCCGAAACTCCCATTGATTTCTATCAATATTGGTAATGTTTTTTTCCAAAAGATCAGAGCCTTGCAACAGACTTTTGAATATCTCACCCATTTGAGCATCACTCACCAGATTAAATGTAAGGCTAGATGTCTGTTGTTCTGTGAGAAGTTCAAAACTAAAATCAGACTTGTTAGCATCTCTGGCTATGTGTAAACTTTCCTTTTCAAATATCGTGCCTTTGAATGGAGTTAGAGTACCTTGTAAGCCATTTTCCTTTGGAGGCTGCACTTTGGTTTGGGAGATCCTTGTATTATCAATGACATTAAAATATTTTGTAACTGCACTTTTTGGTGCATCTACTTTATTTTTGTCATCGTGAGACTTAGATGATTGATAACTTGGTTTAGAATGGACATAGCCTTCAGGCTTTTGAGATCTGGCTTTTAGGACCTTTTTCTTGGACTTCTGTAAATCCGCTTTATAAGACATTTTATGTTTTTGTTTAGTTACTATTTCAAGCTTTCCTTCATCACTCTCACTTCCTACACTTACTGCATCACAAAGCTTTACTATAATCCTCCTTATCTTTTCAAATAAGTAATCAAGTTGTTCATCCACAAATTTCCACAGCTGCTTTTTCATATCTGATAGGTTTTGTTCAAAGAGACGATCTACTGTTGCATTCTTTTTAACTTGCTTAAGTTTGGATTCTATAGTGTCACACAGATTCAATTTTAAAGTATCACCTAATTTTGACATCTTGGAAAAGTTCAGGTACTTTATCAATGATGTAAAATTCAAAATGGCTGATTCTATAATTCTGTGAAAGTGCTGAACTGGGAAATGTATCTTGAACTTCATATAATTTTTCCTTATCTGTTTTCGTATAGCTCGCAACATCTGCATAATTTCTTGTACCGTAGAGGGTTCAACAATAACTTGAACTATTTTCTCAAGGCACGTAATACTCACTGTTTTACTTTTTTTCATTTCCTTTGAGGATTTGGTCCCGATTTTATATTTTTCCCTACTTTTTTTAAAGCTGTCTTTTTCAGAAACTAATTTTCCATTATCTTCAGTACAACATGCAGTTTTATTCATTTGGTTACATGGACTGCCGGTCAAATTACGTGTTTCAGGAGAAGCTCTTGCTCTTGATTTCTTACTATTTTCACAGTTTCTAGCTGGTGTAGGTTTTTCATCCTCACTTACAATTTCCCCTTCTTCTAGTTCATCAGAGGATGTGTTCAGCTGCGACTCCATCTCCAAGTGTTCATCAGGTGTAGAAACTGGCTTTTGATTTTCTTTGTTCACCTCATTTGACAGGTTCTTTGAGGAACAGACAACTGCATTTTCACCAATTAAATCTATAGAGAGAAAATAGTGTGTTAACAACCCAGAGACACACAGAAGGTAGATATTTTGAAGAAAGGCAGAAGACTCGGTTATTTAAGTGTTCACTTCGAACAGAAGGTAACAGTTTAGAATAGTCCGTTTAGAATGATCAGCTCTACTCAGTATGGTTGATCTTGAAACGTGACAGTTAATAGACAATATTCTTCAGAAAGTAGTTTACAGATAAAGCACTACAACTGACATTAGGCTTTAAGCTTATAAGCCAACAGCAACTGCTTACAGAGATTTCACTAAGTGAACATGTTGTGGTCTACAAAGAACCATATTGTTTCTTAATGAAACTCAGTAATTCCTATTATTTTGGACTTTTCCCCATGTAGTTATTTGTTATGATTACACTGTACAAGATTGCATTTTTATATTAACTACAACTATCATAGATTAAATCAGAGCTCTATAAAAAAAAAAAATTCTTTTCCTTAAGAGTTTTAACTAAAAGGTCAAAACATGCAGAATAAATCAGTTACTTACTTTTGCATTCTGTTATCACTTTAGAAATGCCAGATGTGATCTAGTGTTTCCTTGTGGCCTTAAAAGTGTACAAATCTACTCAATAAGAGATTAAATCCCATCATGCCATACAATGCAGATGGTAAGTTTGTAGCTCAGGAGCTAATAGCTTAAGAAAAAAAGAGGACTCCATTTAAATACCTTTAAATGGAACTTCTATTAATTTTGGGAGACCTTTACCTTAGTTGTTTGATTTACAGGAACAGGGAAGGTGAGAGGGATAAAAAGATTTTTTTATGGACTAAACTAAAAATTGTGATACATTTCTCTTAACAAAATTAAAAGAACCTATACCTCTTAGACTCTCTCTTTCTTTATTTTTACCCTGCTTATACTTGATTTAATGCCATGTTACAAAAAAGGAGGCAACAGCAACCCCAGTATAAATATAGTAGCACCTGATTGTGGAAAATAATAAGCAGCAGATACTATTTGATTAATTAATTATGTTAAACACTTCGCAGATCTGTATATTGCTGTAGAAGCAAAAAAAAAAATGGAACTAGTCCTCAAGTCTGAGAAACAGAGTTCCATAATGACATGGTCACATTGACTTTTGCAGAAAGCATGTGATTATGAAAAATGTTGTTATACACATGAAATGAGCTAGAACTCTCTCTTCAAGGAACAAACTAAACATTCCAATAAAATACTAACAGAAAGCTGAAGTTAAGACAAATTCATAAACCAGGAAATTCAGACATAGGATTACCTACTATTTCCACATGCTTATGTTGTTATTGTACCTATGTTCCTATTCCCCATTATATCTATGCATCAGAAGAGAGTTTTTATTTCAGTTTCACCACCTCTCTAGGTAATCTGTTCCAGCACTTGAATACCCTCCTTGTAAGCAAGTTCTTCCCAATATCCAACCTCAGCTTCCCTTGCTGCAACTTGAGCCATTGCTCCTTGCTCTGTTGTCTGCCACCACCGAGAACAGGTTAGTGCCATCCTCTTTGCAACCCTCCTACAGGGAGTTCAAGGTTGCTATTAAATCCCCCCTCAGTCTTCTCCAGACTAAATGAGCCCAGTGCCCTCAGCCTCTCCTTACAAGTCATGTCCCCCAGACACCCAACCATTTTTATTGTCCTCTGCTGGACTCTCTTCAAAGTGTCCACACCCTTTCTGTAGTGGGGGGCCCAAAACTGGACACAGGACTCCAGATGTGGCCTCCCCAGTGCTGAATAGAGGGGAAGAATCACTTCCTCTGATCTGCTGTCAACGCTCCTACCGACGCAGCCCAGGATGCCGTTAGCCTTCTTGGCGACAAGGGCACACTGCTGGCTCCTATTCAGCTAATTATGTACCCCAGTGCTTTACAATTAGCGAACAAAATTCTCCTTTACTTTAATCCCAACTCATATTTATATAAATTAGGGTTGGAAGGGACTTCAGGAGGTCATCTAGTCTAACACCCTGCACAAAGTAGGACCATCTCCAACTATATCATCCTAGCCAAGGCTCTGTCTAGCCAGGTCTTTAAAACCTCCAAGGATGGAGATTTCACAACCTCTCTGGGTAGTCTGCTCCAGTGCTTTAACTACCCTCCTAGTGAGAAAGTTTTTCCCAATATCTAATCTAAACTTCCTATGCTGCAACTTGAGACCGTCGTTCCTTTTGTTCTCTGCCACCGAGATGGTATACAAATGTACATTCAAATTGATTTAATTAAGAGAAAGAATGGCCTTTTCAGCTAGCTTACACCTCTGCAAGTTAGGAGAGCCTATACATGCGCAGAGGCGCTGCTCCAATGCGCTGTAATTACAACACATCTGAGCAGACTCGATTAACTGAGTGTGCTGGAGTGTGGTAATTACCACACTCCAGTCTCACATATATCAGTGTACCCGTGCTGGAAAATGGTGACAGGGGCGCTTTAACTGAAGCTCAATCAACAAGCTTTAGTTAAAGCGCCCCTACCACCATTGTTCAATGCAAGGACGCTGATACATGTGATGCTCTGGGCACTTTAATTACAGTGGCTCTCGGAGCTGTTCTAATTAAAGCAACAC